AAAATGTGCAGTGCATATGAGAAACCTAGTCTGATGATATGATCTGTTTACAAGGGCGGATACCTGTTTATGAGGGAGGATAGTGATAGGACAAGGGGGAATGGTCTTAAGCTGAGACAGGAGGTTTAGGTTAGGTATAAGGAGGAAGTTTTTCACACAGAGGAGGTGACTCACTGGAACAGGTTGCCCAAAGAGGTTATGGATGCCCCCATCCCTGGAGGTATTCAGGGCCAGGCTGGATGTGGCTCTGGGCAGCCTGGTCTGGTGGTTGGTGACTAGGTGATTATTGTGTGATTCTATGATTCTGTGACTTCAGGAGCCTATCACTTCTAGCTGTTCCTTCTCACTTGTTTTGAAGTTAGTACTTGCATCATAAAAATGATTGTGGAACCACAACCTTAAAGACAAGTGCAAAGTGTTTACTAAAAGCTTACACAGCCCTTTTTTATTTCTATTTGGTTTACTTGTTGAATCATGTCTATTTCAATTTCATTTGGTTAGCGCCAATCACTGTGGAGCCCTGAGCCATGGTGAGCTCTTGAAGAATTTTCCACAAAAACCTGTATGATTTGTCTTTAAGAAATAATTCAAGATGTCACTCTCTGCTTACCAGAAGTGAAGAAAGTAATTCTTCAGTAATTTGAAACTTACCAGCAAAAAATGAATGTGCAGTGTATTCAGTAAACAGAAGCAATAGAATTTTGCCTGAAAATAAAAGGAACATTCTTCTGTTTGTTAATCAGTAGAATATGAAAGTTCTACAGATGAGACTGTCCCTTTGCTTGCATCTCTGCAGTTCCAAGTTTTTTTTTTAAATACATGAAGTCCACATTAGATTATAAGGGAAGGTAATAGTGGTAGAAATTTAATCATTCTACAGTGATGCAGACTAAGCATGTTATTGTTCACTTTTGGCTTAATAGTTGACAGCTTATTGGTTTGTTTAGCTAATGTATCTCTGAATTAAGAGTCAAGTTTAATTCAGATGATGCTGGTTTGTATCTGTCTGTTTTAAAGCAAAATGGCCCTTTTTTTTTTTTTTTTTTTTTTTTTTTTAATTCAGGAATACAGCCCACCCCCCAAATTTACCCACACAGGTTGCCTTCCCACTAGGTATGGTCAGGCTAAGTGAGAGGTACAAATTGGTGCTTCTTGTGTAGTTTGGTCTTCACTTTCTGTGCAGCTAGCAAAGATTTTGTTTTTTGTGAAAAATTATTTCCCTTGCTCAGGTTTCTGACTCAAATGACCATAGCATCCTTTCCTATTACTCATAGCACTGTGGTCTTTTTTGAGCAGTATGTGGACTGGTGGAGAGTCTCTGCCTTCAATCTTTTGTGATAAAATGTCAAGAATTAGGGAAAATGGGAAGGTGCACTGCTGTTTTGATAGTTTAAGCATTACCTGTATATAGGATGGAAGTCATGACAGCCTGTTTCCATATGAAGGATTGTAAGTAGTAGCAGCCCTTCCAGAGATGCTTTGCGTTAGTGAAGCACAGCAGGGTGTGAGAACTGAATGCAATTTGACATTTACCATTGCACTGCCGTTCAGCTACCTTTAGACACATCAATATTTCCTCATGCAGTGAAAATATACCGTGCTGTTGTGTAAATTGAGTGCTCTTAAGTTTTTGATACACGGTGGTATTTTAAAATTTAAATAGTTCTTAAAACTCAGTCTTTTGATACTGTGTTCAGCTGTTAAGGGATAAGGCTCTTCGAAATTTCCTTTGGAAAAAAACAAGGGAAAAATTTAACAGCTATTATCCAGGTTAATTTTTTTCTTCTTATCCTGTTCTATAGTACCTCAGGGGTCTGCAGCAGCAGGTAGCCAACAAGCTACTTCTAAAGCTGTACTTGCATCAGTTGCTGATCCTAGTGCACAAACAAAGATAGACTGTTTTGGTAAGACAAGGCTCCATTGAAGTTACTGCTAATGAGCAAAACAGCTCTGTTCACTCAGTCCCATTCAAAACGTAGGAAAAGAATCAATCTTTGCCAAATTCGAAAGGCTGAAACTATTACAGAAGATAAAAATGATTTACTTGAAGTGGGTGTAAAACATATTTTCAAAATAAACACTGAAACCGCACTTATCTTTTACCACACATTTAATCATATTCTGCGTGGGCACGAAAAATAGGAAGTGTTCAGTGTTGTATTCCTTGGTTTTATAAATGCAGGTTTGTTCTAAATAAATAAATAATTAATAATCTAAATAAATAATCTTAAATATATATATATTTAAGCACTAGCTTAAATGTCAAATGCAGCAAGCCTTCTCAGTGTGAAGTGTTTCTCCTCTGCAGCTTACTCCTAGCAAAAGGGCTTACCCGCTTTTGTATTTTCCTAATTCTTTAAAGAAACAAAAAACTCAAGTAGCCGTAGATGGGATTAATTTGCCTATTTGACTTTAAATTACTGTGTGCCTACACTTCTTTAAATAGAATGTTTTATTAATCCTTGTAGTAATGCCACAGTGTTTTTGCATTCCTGTAAAGTTTTTTCTCCTAGGTTAGCATATTTGAGTTCTTGAGGATGACTTTTGTTTCTGCTTGTTTAGCACAGATGATAAATTTCAGCTGAAAGAACAAGTGTTCTCAAATAAAATACTGATATGCATTTGGTCTTAGAAGTTGTGGGTGTTCTGTGATGCAGAGAGCTGTTGGAACTGTATATATACTCTCAGGAGGAATAGGCAGCAGCAGAGCAAGAATATATTTTTCTTTTTTTTTTTTTTTTTTTCTTAAATGAAAATCTGTGTATGCCTCCTGGAGGCACCTGTGAAGGGCTGGGATTGCTAGAGCATGAGCTGCCAGCTTGAGCATCTGCAAAACTTTTTGGGCATCAAGATTTCTAGAAATATGACTAGATTGCTAAGAGACCCCTATTTCTTGTCAAAAATACTTTGATAAGAAGCAGAGAGCATAAGTAAATATATTTAGGATCACATGCTAGAGCCATACATTCAGTATTTCAGATGATAGCACCCTAAAATAGAGATGTGCTGTCATGATGTTGTGATCTTATTGTGTTGTGGCTGTAGCTAATTTTGAATGTGTGTCAAATTGAGGTATTCTGACTTTCTGAGAAGTAATTTAAAAATTAAGGAAGAAATTTGAGTGATGCCATGCATCTGAGTTCAGTTTTCACATGCTGCTTCAGATGCCTTTTTGTCTTCCAGATATAAAACTGGTCATTGCCTCAAGAACCTCATGGGTTCTTGTCTTTTTTTTGTTATTTCTTTGTTTAAAAGTGTCTTCAACCATATACTCCTCTCTTTTCACTCTGATACATGTAAAAGCCAGAATGTTTGAGCCTCTTTGTTTGCATGTAGTGGTAGTCTTGTCTGGATTTGAAATTTGGAGCATTTGCCTCCTGAGAACACGTGTACCTCCTCTGTCCCATAGGAAGGTCTCCCTCCATCCTGACCTGTGCAGCACGTTGGCTGTGTTCTGGTTTCTAGATGGACTGCTGCTGTCTAGTAGTTACCTGCTTCCTTTCTTCACTCTGATTTGGATCCACTGCGTTATTGGGAGACGAAAGGTAGTGCAGTGTGGATTTCTTTCTAAAGTCAATATGAACTATAGGTTTTATAACATTTTGTATGCTTTTTTTCAGTCCTCTAAATGGCTAAATTATTGTTCAGTTAGAGCCTGTGGCTCTGTAACTAGGGCAGCTGTGACAGCATTGTTGCTTTATTCCATTTTTTTTTCTTAGATTAAAAACTGCATTAGTAGTCTCTGGTGTAAGATGTCTTTCATTGTCACCATGGAGTAGGGAAATCTGCATCAGAATTTGAGAGGTTACTGTTATATGTAAGAGATTCCAATACCAGAGCCTATTGAAGAATAAACAGTATAAATTAACTGGACTGACATGCCTTGAAACAATTTCTAGAAAGAGACTGATTCCGTCTGCAGTCCCCCCTCCTTCCTCCCTGCACAGAGAAGTTAGGTGAGGAAGGAGTTGAGCTGGTGGTCAGCTCCATGTCTGCAGTCAACACTCGTTTTCTCAACATCACTTGTGGCAGATGTGAACATGCTCATGCTGGGGCCTTGCAGGCTCCTCAGACCCAGCAGTGTTTATTAACTTAGGCTCAGTGTCAAGCAAATGTAGCTACACTGCTGAGGATGTGTTGTTTTGGCATGGAGTCAGTCTCCAAGTTAGAGAAGTCTGCCAGGCGCTAAGGGTGCAGGCCTGGGTCCAGCCCTAAGATCCAGGACCTGTGTTACAGGTAACTGGCCATATGGATCAGCATGAGACCATCAGGCCTTGTTGCATCAGCAGCAGTTTCATCCCTGACATTGAATTTGCTTGTGTGTGCATTTCTGTTTTGGTCATCGTCTCGGGCATTTTTAGTGTTGGATTTTTTTTTTTTTAACTTTATGGCACTTCAAGTACTGGGAAAATTTATTAGCTTGGCCAGCCTCGGGCTCAACTGACGTGTTCTGTGCGTGCAGTATGGCATGTACTGAGCTGCTAGCAGCAAGGCAGAGCAACAGGGATAGCATTGAGTCAGTTGATGATCTTAAATTGACTTTAATTTCTCTGTGTTGTGATTCCCAGCACATTTTGAAGTGAAGCAATATACGTATGTTTCTACTGCCTATTTTCACACCGCCTTTGTGAGCCATAGCAGCGAAGAGTTGGCCATCGCAGCTAAAGCTTAGAGTATGGCTTGGGTACTGCTAATTTAAGTTCATGTTTTGTTTTCATGGAGTACATCGCCATGGTACATACACTGAGACTATATGTTTTAAAACTACAGTTGTTATAAGGGTAATTGGCTTTTCTGTTTGGATTTGGAAAGTACCCTCTGGAAAAATGGCTATGTATAATTTTAAGATGTTATGCTTGATAGTCTGTGGACTGTTAGAGTACTCTGCAAGACAATTCAATTTAATTTAGAATTTGCAAGAGTCCGCTTCCATAATAGTTGCAGAGTAGTACCTTTTCCAAGCAAAAGGTCATGCAGCTCTTCTGTTTTTTCATATGCAGGTGCAGCTGGGACAAGCAGATATAAAATGCCCGATCACAGAGTGCAGCGAACACCTGGATGAAACAACTGTCCTCTATAACCTGCCCCACGAGGACATTATCAAGTATAAATATTTCCTGGAACTCAGCCGCATCGACTCCAGCACGAAGCCATGCCCTCAGTGCAAGCACTTTACAACCTTCCGGAGGAGAGGCCACATTCCTACCCCTGCCAAATTGGAGAACAAATACAAAGTGAGCACACTTGCCAGAGCTATGGATTAGATGGCACAGCAAAAGTAGGACAGCATTAGTACATGGTTGCTTTAACTAGTTGATTCACTTCTAGCCATTTGAACAGGTGAACTTTAGTCCTGATAGGTTGGTAGGTGGCATAATTTTGGCCTGACGTGTTTTAGTTTTAACAGTATTTTCTTTCTTCTCTCATGTGCAAACAGTAATCATGATCAGAAGAGACTGGGAAAGGGGAATTACACTGCAACTGATTATTCTAGCCGCACAACTCTGGCAAAAATAGGTTATTTCCTGAAAATGAGCAAATGAATTCGAGGTACTTACTGTGTTAGGTGATAGCTTCCTGTTGCTTGTTCTTTCCTAAGAACTGGAGATGTTGTCTGTCCTGCTTCTTGGTTATGATTTCTTTAATCCCTTACTAGATGTTCAAGATTACTGTGGTTTCATGACTCTTAGTACATAAAATTGGAGGATGATCAAAAAACATTTTTTCCACAGAGTTTCTTCATGTAGAAGGTTCGCTTATACTGATTTAAATCAGGTACTAAAGAGCAAGATTTTCAGTTAGAAGAAGCTTTGAGCCCTGATGGTCCATCTTGTTTCCAAAAGATGAAAGTTCTGTCTGCAGCATCATGCTTCACATTAGCTTTACATCCAGTTATTAGATTTGTTGTGGTTAATGTCATGATTGAGCTGGCCTTCCCTGACCAAACCAGTTTTCCTCAGTAGGAGTTTAGATGGTTGTTTAGATAGGCCTAATTACGACATAAGATTGAGCCCAATGTAGGGATTAAAAAGTAGAAGGTTGTGTATCCAGTGCAGTTGAAACTTCAGCAAAGCTAACTCTTGAATTCTGAGCTTCCTTCCTGTTTCTTTGCAGTGTTTGAGTTATATATAAGTAGCCACAAAGTCTAGTGTTGGACTTAAGATTTTCAGGTGCTTGGCATTTTAAGCAAAGGTGGAGGAATTCCAAACTGCAGGTTAAATTCTTTCTGCCTGAAGCCATTCTTCTTCAACCATCCATTTAACATCTCCTCAGGTACAGACAGGATGTGTGGTCCAAGGTAGACCAGCTGTTGTAATGCTTTTGCATCAGCTTCTCCTAAGGTTGTGCAGCTGTTGTAGGTAGTATGTGCATGCCAACTCAATTTGTTCATTATCTTCAGAGTACAAAAGAGTACTTTGCTTACAAATGCTGTGAGTTCAAATGCTGTGGTTAAAATCTTCTCACCACTTCCCCAGAAATCCTAATCAAAGAAAGAATCTGAAGCTGCCTGATGCTTTATGTAGTACAAGCCTGAAGCAGTTCCCTGGTACTGTGGTAAAATGTTGTGTAGTTCTGCTCTGCAGAGCTAGAGTCTCTTCCTAAGAACAGACTGTCAAAATATGTGCTTTGAGCTGGCTGTACCCACGTGTAAGGAATGTCTAGTTGATACAGGACAGAAATACACTTGGGAAAGTACTAACAAACAGTATGGACACTCATGGTCCAGAGCTTTAGACTGATCCTTGAACCTGTGTTGTGTTCTGTTGTAGGTAAAGTTTTAGCAAACTGATAGAAGCTCAGTACACAGAAGAGTTGCTACAAGGATGAGATGTTTAAAAAAAAAAAAAAAAAAAGTGTACCTGTCCTTGTGTACGTGTGTAGCTGTGGACCATTATCTCAGTTTTCTTATATTCTAATGTGATTTTTTTTCATACATTCTTTTCTGTCTTGGATTATGGGCTCTTTGGAGGTGAAGATTCATTTTTTCCACATGTAGTATAGAAGAGATCTGACCAGAGACTAGGAGCAATATGAGCAATAGAAGCACTAATTGCTTCAGAGGAATTCTGGACTGAAACCCCGGAACTGGAAGTGCTGCCTTTTCAAAGGAACAGTCATGCATGGGGAAAGCCCATGCAGAAAGGTACTGTCAGGAGCACAGAAAGGCTCTTCCCAGTACCCTTGCTGTACATATGTACTATATGCAGGGACAGGAAGACACTGTAAAATCTGAGAGTATGTTTGAGAAGATATTTTTAAATGTCATTAATGGCTTTACTAACAATAGATACCCCATTTTAAATTATAAATAAAGCTAACATCTAAATTTAAAGAAGGATAAAAGTTATCAGCTTGAATATTTTTCCTTGGTATATGTTTTGTTAGCTAAACTGATGTAAGCCTAGCAGTTCAGAGTTGGCTACTCTTCATTTTAGAAACCAAAGTCTTGATGTAAGCCTTGAAAATTAACCTGTGCACACATGTTGGCAGAGGAAGAGAGGTAGAAAAGGAAAACTGGTTATTGAAACATTCTTTGTCCTGTTAGCGTCACTTGAAAGAGCACCATACAGCAGATTAATTATCTAGTATACTGCATCATGTATTCATGTCACAAGAAGGATCCTAGCTTTAAGTAAGGAAACATCCCTGCCCTTTTGTCTTATGAATCAAATTGGGAATGTAAGACTCAATCAAAGAAAAGATTAATAAACCTCTGGTGAAAGTTGATGTGCCCAAGGTGTGAAGACAATGTGCAAAAAATTCAACAGAATAGTAGTTCAACTCTTATGCATGGAACAGGCAGGTTTCAGTAGGGGTTGTTGGCTTTTACTGTGAGCTTATTTTTCTTCTCCCATAAGCCTTAGGTTTCACCTTTTTAGAGCTGGCTTTTTGACCTGTTACAAAGAAGTTGTTCTTGATTGTTGGGCTTTCTGCCTTAGTCTGTGATGTTCATGACAAAACTTTCTTGGTCGCTGCTGTGAAGAGATGCCCATCACGTAAAATATGTTTGACTTCAGAAATGTGAAGCTTTTTTTCAACGTGGTTCTTAAGTAAACTATCTTTTGTTGGAACTGTTGAGAAGTTTCTGAAACTCTATTGCTCTAGAACTGTCAGGAATCTGTAATTGTGAAAGTATTGTGATGGAATAGATCTGTGTAGCTGATACTAGTGAGTTCTTCAACTTTTTCTGATCAAATTTGAACCTAGAGTTGCAGATACTTTCATGGCTAGGTATCACTGCAGTCAGCATTAAGCCTAAACTGCTCATAAAGTGGTAATTTTGCTGTGAACTTCCTCTATGTTCTTAGCTGTTTGTTCCTGCCAACTTGCTTTTGTTCATATTGATGTTTCAGTGCTACACTGGGAGCTGGATCAAAGATCAGCTCCAGTGGGATACAAGATTTGTTTTGTTGTTGCTTATTTTCAGCTGGTATAAGAAAGAAGATGGGTTGATGACAATGAGGAAGCAACTGTTTTGGCAGTAGCCAATATCTGTTTTGGAATGAATTAACTGTGTAGCTGTAGATAGATATTGTAATTCAACTAGTCAGTTAACTGTACAATTATTTCACTCTAATATGTAGCTAGCATTCCACTAAGCTTCAGAGAATCCCATTAATCTTTCTGAAGCTTCAAGTTCTCAGAACATTTTTAATGTGAACTTAGTTTTGCTAACGTCATGTCATGGTGGGCAGTGCTTTATATTGCTGTTACCTACCAATTTTGAAAGGTCTTTTCCTGGCAGATGAGGAAATGAAAGTTTAAATTATTTTACTGGCTAAGAAAATGGAAATTGTCAGCCTCAAAGATCAGTGTGTGAGAAAGTTGAGAACCAAGAGGATTAGTCTGAGAACTTGCGTAATCTTTTCTATTTCAAGGGAGACTGACCTTCAGCTGTTGTAAGTTTGTGTGTATCCTCTCAATTCTGATCAGCTGAAATGGAAGTCACAAAATAATTGGAAAAGTTTATATTTGGAAAAACATATTTTTTTCAGAAATAGCATCTGTTTTGTTGGACTATACTGTATTTTGCTACTTTGAATTATCTGAATTTCTGAGTCCTTATTATGATTTATGTACTAATACTAAACATAAAGCAAATCATCTGATGGTATTCTCAGAAAAGCAGAGGAAGCATGGAGTAAGAGTCTAAAAGACTGACGTAGTTGTCCTGTTGTGTTCCTATTTCTTCTTGAGCACATTCCATGCTGGTTCACTGAATCCAAGTTAGAAAACCTTTAGGGTTTTTTTTGTCTACTACTTCCAAGAAAATAAGGTTAATTTAAAATAGCATACTTTTGTTTGCATAGTGTATGTTCAGATGGTAATGACCAAGAGAAGTCAAGTGGCTCATTCAGAATCTTAAATCCATTTACTAATTCAGATTTGTGGAAGATGAAAAAGGAAACTAGTCACTCCAAAGCTTGTCATGAAGTAGATTCCTTTAGTTCAATCAATCAGGGCCACTGATTAATATATTCTGAAATCCTGTGATTGCAGCCTCTATGTTTATTTCAGTGTTTTCTAAATGATGTGTTTGGAAAGATCTGATGTCAGTGCATTACATTTCTTGTAGTTACATGTGTGCTGTAACAGAGCATGTGAAAAATGTTTGTTAAATGTTCAAAAAACAAAAGAGCAAAAAAATTTGTTTCAAATTGGTACCAGGTTTTTAAGCAAGCAGCTTCCCAGATCTGTTGGCATGGTGGGTTTGTTTGAGATGAATTCATTCAGATTCCATCTGAAATGACTGAATATTGTACCTGATAAGAGCTTCCAGGTTGTAGAACACTTAATTATGACTACACAAGGCCATTCTTTGCTTGAGGCGTGATAAGCACTGAGTAACGCAGTGTGGCGTTTGCTATATCATGTCTTCCTAGCAGTGGATCACTGTGATGTATGTTATTGGAAGACATGATGCTCGAAGGAAATGTTGGGGTTATTGGTCAGGGTAGTAAGCTTGTAACCAGAGGTGACTGTTGTGCATGTTGGATTCTGGAAATGTAAATTAGTGCTCTGCATGAATTTGGTTAGTAGCAATAAATATTTGATTTTTTAGGTTCTTCAGAATGGAGATTTTCCTCTTTCCTCTTAAGCTGTTTTTATGAAGAATTAAGCAAAGATAGCAGGATAGTATATATATTTTTTACGTAGTCTTAGCCAGTAGACCAATGAATCTGAGAAAATGTACTGGTTGTATTTTGTATGTTGGTTGTTATATACTTTGTCCTGGCCATAGGCCGTTACCATATTCTCATACAGAAAGTAATAGTGTTTGTAATATACTTGTTATATATGTTTGTAATATGCTTGTTATAACTTCAGCATGTTGTCTCAATGCAAACAAGTTTTGTATGTTACCTACCTGTGTTTCTGGTACCTTATTTCATTGACAAAATCATGTAAGTGCAGTTTTCTTTTGTCAAGTATTTTAGTGTTTACTGTGGAAAAAATGCCACCCTGTCTTGCTATAACAAGCACAAAGTCATACTTGCACAGGATACAGGACATCAGAATTTACTTCTTCTATTTTTAAATTACACTGTCTTTGCTAGATATGAAGGAAAGAACTGTGTGTTCTAGCACTTAAATACTCTTTTGTTTAAGAGGAATAATGACCAGTAAATGGTGACCAACTGAAATGTTAAAACATCTTGTAAAAAGAAGAAAATCTGTCTACATCTCAAGGTTGTCTTCCTTGTTCACACTTCAGTCATGCATACAGATGACAAATTCTGGAGGGGGAAATGCCATCTTAGATACAGTGAGAAAATTGTTAAATCTTTTGAGCATGAACTCACATTCTTGCACTTGCTGACCTGTAGATTTGGATTGACTTAAAGAAGTAAGCAGAAGTGGTGCACAAAGCTGAGCAGCACATCATATGGATGATGATACTTTATCATATCAGATAAAGATAAAATACTTGGTTGAACAGTGCTACCCAGAAATATTTCACATCACACAAACGAGGCTGCGCTCTCAGAGGCTGCTGCAATGCAGAAACATTTGTTTTCTACAAGTAAAACTAAAGGCAACCGCTAAACAGTGGGTCAGTAGAGACATAAAAGTACTAGCTAGAGCCATTGTATCAATTTGCATTTAAGTTTTTGCCTTTAATTTTTCACATTAAAAAAAAAGTCTATGCAGAAGAGGCTTAGGAAGAAGCACTAAGGGCTGCAGACAGCTTCATTTCCATCACTCATTATGAGATTAGATCAGCTTTGTATTAGCTTGCTGGTAGTAATGGATGTAATAACTGCATGTATGAACAATAATTCTGGCTGTGCTGCAGCGAACTACTTGAGGCAGATCAGAGTGTCAGCTTTGGCCTGAGAACAGAGCTGAGGTGGCAGGCAGCTGGTGTGTCTGAGCAGAGAACCTGGCCAGCTTGTGTCATGCCAGGACTTCCAAAATGTGTTCTGTGGGCTTTACCTGGGCCATACCCCAAGGGAGACCTTCCTTCCCTCACATGTCTGTGGTGAGTTGGAGGCAGGAAACAGCTGTGGCTGAGAAGCTGGTTTTGGTTGAATTCCTCAGACCAGTCTGTGCATTGGCATAGAGTAGGGGCTGTATTAGGCATAGACTGTGAATGGGCTGGTGGAAATGAGTGGTTGCGTGAGGGTTGTGCCTTCCCCAGCTTTCCCCCACGTATTCATAGCCCCGCTCAAATCATGTGCTACCAAATACATCTGTAGTGGAGATGTTCCTGAAGCCTGGATGTGCACTGAATGTGGCTTCTGCTTGTTGCTGTCTTCAGTCACTGTTCAGGTGTGTGGCCAGACTTAATGTGTGAGCACCTGCAGAGTGCCTGTGTTGCTTAATGCTTTTACAAATACAGCTCCAGCAGCTTTTTACAAGTAATAGCCAAGCTCTAGAAGAGGGTGTGATGATTGTGTATTTGTTGTAATGATTCAAAACTAGGTGAGCAGGAAGAGTAGATCCTCTATCAATGTAAAGAGCTTGGCTTACCTTTTCTGCCAATATTGTGGTTGTTAACAGGTGTGCTGTTTGGCACATGTGTCTGGCATCAAAGTGGTGGTAGGGGCACTTGACTGGAAAGGAGAAGGGCCCTCACACTTGGCACCTTTTTCCCAGCCTGTTTCTAATAGAAGCTTCATAACCTATTCTGGGTTCTCCAGATTCCTGCTAGCAGAGGATTGTTTTCTCTCTGGTAGAAGGCTAAGGGAGTGTAGGTTGTCTCTGGAAGAATGAGATCCATCACAGTGAAAGTTAGCTGTTGATTTTTACCTGATGACAAGTGTGTTTGAGGCAACTGAATTATCTTAGAAAGCAAGCTACTCATTTGTCCTTTGCTTGACTGGAGCCTTTCCTGGGTTTTAATAATTCTTTTTTTTTTTTTTCTCTTTAAAAATAATTTTTAAAAAGAAATCACTGTTGTGTTGCGTAACTTGTTGAATTTGTTTTTTTAAATGGACATTGCAGAAAATGTTAGACCCTTATTGCTGGGCAGTTACTCTTTGACTAAGAGCAGCGTTTTTAAAACACGCTTTCCAGTTGGGTCAGTGTATAGCTTGTAAATGTGTGTTTTCTCATTTGTACAGATCCAGTGTCCATCTTGCCAATTTGTCTGGTGTTTCAAGTGCCACTCTCCCTGGCATGAAGGTGTTAACTGCAAAGAGTACAAAAAGGGAGACAAGCTGTTGCGTCACTGGGCCAATGAGATTGAGCACGGGCAGAGGAATGCTCAGAAGTGTCCAAAATGCAAGGTAAGTTGCATTCTAGGGGTGCACAGATATTAGCTTAAAACTGGTTAAATATTTATGCATTCTAAATATTTGTACCTTCTATCCTAGGTTTGAAGCAAAATTCACACTTGCTGTGTAGATTCTTACCTTTGACCCATACAGAAAAATGGGTATTTTACTTACCAGTCCCTGAACTGGTTTCACAGGCTCTTAACATCTAAAAGAAACTTTAAAAAAATTTTTAGTCTCAACTTGTAATGAGTGTGTTAGTCTGAATTATTCATATAACAAAAATTTAAATAAATATAAAATTTTAGCAAAGTATGATGCTGTTCATCAGGTTTTCCGGAGACCTTGGAAGAATTGCATGAATTTGATGTTGTAAAGCAGGAAGTACTTAAAGACAAGTAGGAGGCGCTTTGAGTTTTGGCAAATCCAGAAGATCTTTAGGCCTGTGAAAGGACTGACATTTAGCCCTTTCTCATAAATACTTTCAACAGAATGAAGTGCAGTCTCACGTTCTAAAAATGTCATTTTCTGTCCTTCCAGGATAGATGCCTAATCACTTGAATGAATTTGAACAACCCCCAGTGCCCTTGCCCCACTTGCCCTCGACAAAGGTGTTTGTTATGGCTGTTCACTTTCTTTTTTCCTCAGCAGTTGTCTGCAGCTGCTGACAGTAAGAACTAAAAATCTGGAGATACTTAGTTGCACTTGGAACCTTGCTGTGTCTATAAGGGTATACTTCTCAATTTGCTAAGCTTCTTAATTTGATAATGGGAAAATAAACACATGTGGTGCCATAGTTTGAAAGACTTCAAAGCACAAAGAAAAATTAGTAAAGCTGTGAAATCCGTGGTCATTTGTTCACCCTTTCTCTTACATACACGTGACATTGAGTTTTAGCAACCTATTTGCTCAGATATGATAGGTTTGAGCCAGTTCTAAAAATGTTCAGTTTCTGGGAAGTCTTATAGTAACATTTTTTTTTTTTTTTCTTTTACAAACTTCCTTCTGGAGTGGACAGAAGTATCTTATTTTGGTTTTAATTCTTTGACCCGTGTCCAGATTGACTTTCTTGATGATGCATGTGTTGTTTCTATTGAAATAAGCCGTATGAAATAAAGGAGAAAATAATTGGTTACAAATTTGCAACAGTCAAAATTTTCAGAAAAGTAAAATAAATTGAGTGTTGAGTATTTGGTCTTTACTGTGAGACTAAAGCTAATGGAATCTAAAGAGAGAAACTTTAGTAAGGTGGGTATTCTTTACTGAGCAGACTTCTAAAGCTATTGGTAACCTAGAAGATATAATTCTGATCAGTGTCATAAATTGCGACAGTATTTCACGGATATCTTCTGGATATACACTTCAGTGTATGTAAATATATAGACAAAACTTCTTTTTGCTAGCTATATCATGATTTTTATTTCTCCATGATTATCATGTCTGGGCATGCAGTTGAGAAAACAGGAGTACTCTATGGGTGGAGGGACTGTATATAGGTAAATCCTTAGGCAAGTATTCACATGTTTTTCAGTGTTTTTTTGGTAAGTGCTTTGAACATGTTTGATCCTTCATAACAGTGGCTGCTAGTACTCACGTTAAATGAGCTTAAGCCTGATTACTTTTCACAGTAGGTGGATGCAGCTTCAGCACACCTGATAGAAACAGCTTGTATTTTACTGGTTCTCTGCAATATATTCTTACAAAATGAAGCGTTACATACAAAATACTTAAATGTTTTACGTGTGAGTATGGTTAAGTATGTAAATAGTAGAAAGGGCTCCTTTTTTCCGTATCTTAAATTGATTTTTGATGCGTTGCTTTTTTTTTTTTTTTTTTTTTTTTTAAGAGAGATTTTTCTAAACTTGTTATATGCTGCTTGGAGATAGCATAGATCATTTCTCAATTTCAGTTGAGGTTAATAACTTAAATAGACTATGGTTCAATGAAAGTGGTTAATGTTTTTCATATAAAGCCTGAAAAGTAGGAGAAAGTCAAATTGACTTTTGTTAAAAGCACCATGTGTAACTTCAAAAATTAACTGGTATAGCTGAGTAGGTTTTCTTCCAGTTTACTTTAAGTAAGTGCTTAAAAGTGAGAGCTTTGAAGTTTATATTATATATCGGATTATAAAGCTCATCAGCAATGGTGTTTTCTCAGGTACTTGTGAAAAACAAGGAACCTGTCATGCAGGTAAATGAATGATAGGAACAAATAAAATCATGTTGGGCTTCTTCAGAATAGAGGGGATGATTGTATAGTCAGCCTACTGGCATCCCTTCTATTGGATGAAATCTACTTTCCACCAGGGTGTGACTTTTTATAGCACAGTCAGTTTCTGTGAATGCCTTTCCTGTTTTATTCATAAAAGAAGTATTTGAAAGTGCAGAAATCTTGAGATTGCCTTCATTGGCACAGTCATGTTGTCACACCTGTCTGGAATGACTTCTGACTACATCAGCCCTGCAGTCTTTTGCTGAAAGAAGTGCCAGTAGAAAATGTCAGCTTGTTACCTATGTAGAGTACCAGTTTCAGTAGCAGTTGAGGTGGAAGAAATTTCTCAGATTCTAGGTGAAGCTTGATCAGTACCACTGTTGACCCTCTGAGGAATGTCAGATACCCCAGAAGCTGCAAACTTCTCTTGAGGTTAGAGGCTTCAGTTGCACCTGAGCTTTCATCACCTGTGGTGCTTGCAGGGCCATTAAGTGGTGATGTCTATACCTGTACCTCTCTGCAAAATAAATATGGGTTGATATGGATAAGAAATTAAGGAGGAATCATCACGAGTTTCCGCAAGAAAGATATAAGGAGTGAAGACTGTTCCTGGGGAAGGTCTGGAACAAGTAATAGTCTTTGAGCAGCATACCCGTACCGGGTGAGACAAGGCTTGAACCAATCTGGTCTGCCTTTGAAGTGCTGAGCTAGGGATTAAAATACATAACCTCTGGTTACTTCCAACCACAGTTACTGTGAAATTTTATTTTATTTTATTTGTTGCATTATGGAGCCTGTGTGTGGGGTGGTGCTATTTATCCATTTTGTGAGATAGGAAAAACTTGTTTACCACCACTCCATTACCAATGATTTTAGTTGGCAAGATTAAGAAGAGACGCAGTCTAGGGGAAGATGTCTCATTCTATCACATTATGTGCTGCAACAATGATTACACAGTTACTTCTAAGTTTCTCGGAACTATTAACTGAAATTGAATCCTTTAAATGTGTGCTAAGTAAGTAAATGCAGAAGAGTATATGGAGGTAAAGAAATAGTAAATAAGGTACTTCATGCAGAAAATGATTGGAAAAGTAGAAGCAGAGCCTAGGCAAATCACCTTAATGCTATGCTGTGGGCATTGTAAAAGTTTATCATATTTTTTCACAGTTTTTTTGGAATCTTTCTTTTAAACACTTAAAGACAAAACAAGTGAACAAGAAAAGACAACATCCCGTGCTTTCTAAGTCCCTCTTTCTACAGCAGAGCCTTTGTGGTGCTTATTACAAAATGCCAAATCAATTTGTGGTAGTAATGAGAAATAGTGGGGCCACAGGTGCCGTGAGAGGGGAAACCCATCTATGGAGGGGTCATAGAGAGTTCGTAACTATATTTACTGTGCTGCTTTCTTTTCTAATAAAATTTGATGCTAATTTGTCTACTTGAGTAATAAAAACAAGTTTTCATCTTAAGTAAAGGCAAGGATCTTCTGAGATCCTTGGTTGTTTAAATGAAGGGGAAGAATGACGTAGGAAGTCATTTCTTACGTAAAAGCCTGGAAACAGCTGTAACTCATGTTTGATCTGAAGCATGCCTTAAAAAAACATAATTGTCTTAGCACATCTGCTGTATATGGGCTGCGTTGGAGTATTGCTTGCTTTCCTCCACTTCTGGGGTTAAAAATAATCTTTTTTTTTTTCCTTCTGTTCCTAAAGATTCACATCCAGAGAACAGAAGGGTGTGACCACATGACCTGTTCCCAGTGTAACACTAATTTCTGTTACCGCTGTGGGGAGAGATACCGCCAGCTCCGTTTCTTTGGAGATCACACATCAAACCTCAGTATCTTTGGATGCAAATACCGCTACCTCCCCGAGAGACCACACTTGAGGAGATTAGTGCGAGGCTCTGTCTGTGGTGAGTGGATAAATGCACTTTGTAGAGAGCGGCATAAAGCGGTGACTGAGGCAGGTGGGGTATCAGTATCTTAAAGGTATGTGTGTATGTATAGGCTTAAAGTGGAGGATGGGCAGCTACTTTTTTAGCTATGTAAAAAATGATTTACTAAGTATATTAGAATACATTTGGAGTCACTTTCATGAGCGTGGATTAGTATGGATTATGTGTGATTAACTAGTGTGTCCTATTTTGGTAGCTTGCGTTTCCTAACCTTTTTTCATAGTATTTAAGCAAACTGTAAGTCTACACAAGCAAACTGACAAGAAAGTGTCTCAACATAGGGTAGCCTTAAAGAATAACTTTGATTCTATTGAAAATTCAATTTGCTTCTGATTACATTGTAGTGACTTCAGATACCTAAATAGACCTTCTGACATGTTGCAGCTGTGAAACTGCCACGCTGTAGTTTCGCATGAAGATCTTTCAATGAAACAACTTGGTTCAGTTTTACCTTTAAAATTTCATGTTTCTATTTTCTCATATTGTTGTACAGCTACCTCTGTCAGTCTGTATTTCTGTCTGCCGATGTGCAAATCAAGAAGCATTTGCTCAAGCATGCTGTGAAAGCAATGCCAGGTCATGTAGCAGCAGAAACAGATCCATTGGATAAGTTGATTGTAGTCGAACAAAGGCAATAGCACAAGGTTTGACTGATGCAGTGGAGTCTGGCATCTCAGTTACATGTCTAGATTGGAGTGTGCCTGTACGACACTTGGGATGATTGTTCCCAAAAATGGATTCATGTACTGAACTGAGGGGTACCTAAGCTGTCAAGTAGGAACAGAGGAAAGAAGGAAGCATCTGAAATCCTAAATTTTCCACTAAACTTTTCAGGTCTTTTCTGAAGGGGTTGGACTCGATGATCTCTGGAGGTCCATTCCAACCCCTATAATTCTGTGATTCTGTGATTCTGTGAAGTTTTGTTCCTTGCTACCAGCTGATGACTAGCTTATTAGTTTGGTCATCAGTAGCTCTTCTAATAGAAAGTAGATCTCTATGATTTCAGTAACAGAAAGATATGAGACAATCAATATGTATTTGTAGGGTCTTACGTCATTCTAAAACCATACAGGAGAAATGAGTAAGAGCAGGAATCTTTTTAGATGAACCTCTGAGTGAAAGGTTTGTCTGAATAAAGCATCCTTTGGATTTGAACCTGACTTTGTTTTGATAACCAAAGCACTCAAGCTTATTCTCCTTATGTGTATATATAGGAGGACAGTTAGCTGTTGGCTTTGGGTCTGAAAAAAAGATTGAACTTAAAATGCAACTATGTAATTTAATTTATCTCAAGGGAATATTGTGATTATTTTTTTTTTTAAAGGTAGTCTTGATTTGAACTAGTGCACTTGTCTGAACTTACATAAGCACAAGAAAAATAAATTCTTAGCTTATTTGTTATCTTATGTATGCATTAACTTGAGTAATTGTAGTTAGTTTGTGTCATGTAAAGCTACCTGTAACATGATAGGAAATAGTTCTATTAGGTGTTGAAAGCTGGAGACCTATTAATGAAAATGGGACATCACAGTGGGTGAATTAAGACACAGGAATTGGAAGAAAACTGAAATTCAGCTCAGATGAGAAAATGCTTTCAGTTTACAAGTTGGCTTATGTCAAATATAGAGGTAAAGGCAAGAGTCTGAATGTATGGAAGCAGATCTGTGGTAAAAACTCCTGACCAAAATATGTTCCAGTGAAAATACTAGGTGACTTCCATTTTAGAGTAGCGCAAGGGTTGACACTAGACTCATAGGCCTGGTAAGAAGAATTTGCTGATCTGCAAAGTTGTAGAAAAAAACTAAGAAACCTGCAGTGTATTTATAATGAATGTCAGTAAGTAATCCAGACCCCATTCATTTGACTTCTGAAACTTGTAAGTTTTTTGAACAAACTTTGTAAGAGAGAATTCAAGATGCGGAAATAAATAGGAAAATGGATAAAAATTCAAAATGATTGGATATTTTCACTGTTGCATTTTCTAGAGTGAAATTCCAGCACATGAGAAGTACTATTAAAGATTAAAGACAATGCTGGCACTACAGCATGTAGGTATAAACTGTTCGTGAATAAATGTAGGCTTAAAATTCAAGGGCTATTTTTAAGTAGTTCACAGTGTTTCAAAAAAACTTTCAGTAAAAGCAACCACAATATAAGCTGCTTTGCTGTGATAGCAAGGGACTGAGTTCAGGGACATCGCGTTCTTTGCCATCCACGTGTAGAATTATGGGTAATGTTATCCCAAGATTAAACTTGTTTTGTTTGATGCAGATAAAAACATAAACAAGTATTTTGTTTATATTAAAATTAAAATTATATGAAAATTATATTACCAAACATTACATGATGTCTTAATTTTTCCAATGCCTTATACATAAAACAATCAGTTGACTTTTTTTTTTTAATGAATGTGCATAATGCTAATTTTGAAATTATGTTCTCCTCTTTCTTGTTGTATGTTTTTTGTTTTAGGAAATAGTAATACTTGTCATTTCTCTTTCAAAAAGAAACAACTACTACTGGTTTAAAAGAGAATTAGTTTATATGCAAACGGTAACATGGAGGTAGTAATGAAATGCGGAAGCACATGTAATAGTTAAAATTCAGTGGTAAAAATGTGTATGTTCATAATTATAAAAGTATGCATAGAGAAGGCATAAGATATTTTGCTTTCATTTCCCTTTTTTAAGTATGCTTGTGGTTTGCCTTAACTAGTAAGCCAAAAAAGATTACTGAAGCTCAAATCCTCAGTCCAAATTTCTCCAGGGGTTTGTTTCCTGCGCTGTCATTGAGTTATTTCCTACAGCAATGTTCATCACTTTAATCGAGCTGAACCTGCCAGGAAATGTATTTGTTGGCTGTGACTTTTAGCTTTGCTTGTTAACACCGAAATCCACAATGATTCAAATAATTCTACATTGATATTCATGACCTTAAATCCTTCTGTCATCTCTAGCTGGACTTGTAGCTCTAAATGTAAATACATTCAGTCTTTGTCATTAGGTGTTACAGTGCAAGACTGAGCTCTGACTGTTATGAGAGTCAGCAGAAAGAGGAGGCTGTAGCAGAGAAGCAGGCCATTAAAACAGGTCTCTTAATTTTAGTAGCATGTAGAATATAAAAAAAAAAAAAAAATTGATTTAGTGTAGTGAGATGTCACTACTAGCTACTTAGCTACTTGGCTAAGTAGTGGAAATTAAGAGAACACTGTCTTCGCTGCCAGTAGGAGACGTAATGTGTTGCTAGATGCTTTTTCTGATGCATTTTGTTCTCTTACTATGGAGAAGAAATACTTATTTAAGTAAACATGGTGATTTTGTAGTCTGAACAGATAAGCTTCTTTGGCTTGTTTCTACTAAATCTGGGTAGGTGTAGTCCATAGAAAGGGAAGAACATTTCTTAGCAGATTGGCATGCTGTCATTTTCTGTTAAGCAGTAAATGTTTGTCACAGACTGTTCTGTAATAAAAATAAGGGGAAAACCTTTATGGCAGCATAAATTTCAACATTTTTCATTGACACGGTAAAAGGAAGGCATGACATTCAGAGGGACCTCGACAGGCTTGAAAAATGGACCCGGGTGAACCTGATGAGGTTCAACACGGTAAAGTGCAGAGTTTTGCACTTGGACTGGAGGAATCCCAGGCATCCATACAGACTGGAAGGTCCTTGAGAGCAGCCCTGTGTAGAGGGACTTGAGGGTCTTGATAGACCCTCTTCTCTGCTCTTGTGAGACCCCATCTGGAATACTGCATCCAAGTGTGGAGCCCCTAGTACAAAAAAGACAGGGAGCTATTGGAGAGGGTCAAGAGGACGGCTGCAAAGATGATCAGGGGACTGGAGTACCTTCCCTACGAAGACAGGCTGAGGGAGCTGGGCTTGTTTAGTCCGGAGAAAAGAAGGCTGCGGGGTGACCTCATTGCAGCCTTTCAATAATTAAAGGGAGCCTACAGACAGGAGGGGAATCACTCTTTGGAAGGGTTGACAACTGCAGGACAAGGGAAAATGGTTTTAAGTTGAGGGAGGGGAAACTTAGGTTGGATGTCAGGGGGAAGTTCTTTACAGAGAGAGTGGTGAGGTGCTGGAACAGGCTGCCCAGAGAAGTTGTGGATGCCACATCCCTGGAGGTGTTGGAGGCCAGATGAGATGGGGCCCTGGGCAGCCTGGTCTAGTAGTAAATGAAGAGGTTGATGGCCTTGCAAGTGGCAGGGGGGTTGGAGATTCATGATCCTTGAGGTCCTTTCCCTTCCTGGCCATTCTGTGATTCTGTGAAAACAAATGGTTTTGTAAAGGTGAAACCAAAAGAAAATATACTGGGAGCAGAAATGATTGATTTTTCTTGATGTCACTTCTCTCCCCACCTTAGCCAGATATGACAAATTAGAGAGGTGGGCAATGACCAAGCTGCATGAAGTTGAACAAAATCAAATATATTCTGTACCTGAGAAGGGGCAACCCTGGCTATACATACAGACTGGGGAATGAAGCACTGGAGATCTTTAGAGGAACTTTGTCCTGTAGCCAGTACTAAAAGATGAAGTTGCTAGGACTGCGAGGATGGAAAGCTGATCTGGAGATTTCATCCTCATGCTAATTAGATTACTTTTGGTTCAGTTGTTGGAAGCAGAATGTTTGATTGCAACTTGAGTTAGTGATGAATTGATTTGTGTTGATTTGGTTATTGACCACAGGAAGGAAAAACAACATTTAGCTGTCTTACATTTAAGGTGCCATTTAAGTGCCACTTGAATTGGGTGAATCATGTTCAGAATCAATTGCTACATGCTTACTACATGGATGCACAAAAAGACAAGATGTAATTAAACAAGAAATTCTGTGCGTGGTGAGTAGTGTCTCAAACAGGATTTTGAAAGCAGCACATTTTTATATCTGATTGACATGTACTGCTGTCCCAACATGGAGTGCAAGATGCACTTTGTGCATAGTTTTGAGCACTGTGGAAGGAAGCATGCATTTTGAGGATCCAGTCTTCATTATCAACTTTACAGTTACTTTGACTTGTACGAAGTCGCCTATGCACATTTGACTGGACTTCTTAAAGAGATGCAAACTTGTATTAGCATTTAAACTATGTAGATGTGACTGTTCAGATTTGTAAGTAGACACTTGTAATGTCTACTTAATTATATATACACAAATAGACTGTTTCCATATCCTAAGTGACTGAATTTGTTTTCTAAAGCTAGTATATGAATTTCTTAGAATGACGAAGAATTCTTTAATGAGATTTGTAAATATTAACCCCCCTCAAAAACAAAACAAAACAAACAAACAAAAAACAAACACAAAAACCCACAGCCAAACCAAAGTTATCCAAAAAAATGCTTAGGGAAATAAATTTTCCCTTTTTTGCAGAAGAATCGGATTCTGTATATCAAAACTAATGAAACTTCTCCAAAACATTTGCAAACATGGTTACTACTTTACTACGAATAACTAAATCTTCACGTTGAGTAAGTCTGTAGAGAAATTGTCTGCTATTATTTTGATTAGAATTTAAAAAAAATTTTTTTTTAGCCTTTTACTTGCAACAATGTATGCAATTATCCTTAAAAACTAACTTTGGGCATTACCAGAAATGACTATCATAATCTAGACAGGCAATCAAAGGTTTTATTCTACTCTTGGACAAGATTTACATTTGCTATTTGCTAGTGATCTTGGAGCTACCAGGAATAGGACAATAAATTAGAGTGTCATGACTCTCTGAGCCTCATAGTCCTACACATGGTAATGAATGGTATATGTCAAACTGCATTTGAATATAAAGCAATTTAGACATAGAAAACAGTATTTTACGTATTTGTTTTATGCCATCTTAATAGAAGATTATTTGAGTAAAATATAGGTATCTGCTGCTTTGCAGTGATTAGTGATGTTTATACTCCTAGTCATTAGTGATTTGTGTGTCTTGCTTACCTTATGTTAACTTGTTCTTTTATCTTTACCTTTGTAAAGAATAAAATTAAGGACTTAAATGCAATAGATATCTAAGTAGAAAAGGAATTTTGTTTCATTTTTGAAGTTTAACCTTTAGGAAGAACGCATTGATAAATAAAGGGAGATAGAGCTAGTGAGCTGGTTGTCCCATGATGATGAAAGGTCTCTATCCTGTAAGATCTTGTAACTAATAAACTACGCAGTACTCAGTTTCGTATTCACAGGCAGAAGGGCAAAGACAAACATTCATGCTTTATTGCTGCTTTAAGTTAGTTTGTCAAATGTAAATACGCAAGTTCTTAAACTGAATTAGCTTTGAAAACATTCTTCATGTGGCAAAGAAGTCACTCTGTTTAAAAAAAACAAACAGCTTAACCATTCTGCAGATTCTGTTGTGTGTACTTTATCACCAATTTAGTAGATTAAGTTTAGTAGTTTTGTACCAAACATGCCACAATCTTTTAACATTCAAATTACATGAATTAGCACATAGAAAGCTTATAATCAAAACAGAATTCTGTAAGCTTTACCAGAGCTTTAACAATTTTGAAGTAATCTTTAAGATTGTTTTTGTCATTTTTTTCTTGAGGTTTTTACATCACTCTACATTCCTTCCTGTACTTGAATAACTTATTTAAGGCAATGACAACTTCTGTGTTTACAGAATGCAGTGCAGTGGAATCTCAGGAAGGTCTGCCATTAGGGTGCCTAGCAACTAGAGTAATACCAACAGTACTTGCCAACTTTTTCTTCTAGGAATTAATGTTTCCTACTCACAACACTCCTGTGAAATTTAAAAGCTATCAAAAGAAAAGCATGAAAGGGACTGATTCATTTAACCACTGCAAATGCTTCCAAAATATCTCATTTTTCCTTTCTGCTGCCCAAATTAGTGGCTAAGGTTATGGAAAGATTTACATCATTGTTGAATGAAGTAATCCATTTATTGAAATCTGATACAAGTGGCTTGAGAGAGGGAAGGGCAGAGAAGTGAGAGATAATGAACTCACTTTTCCTCTCATTCGAGAGGTAATCTTTCAAACATATGCTTAATGTAGAGAATTGCTTAATTTCAAATCCGTGTTGAAACAGCTGGTATATTAGTAAGCATGCCTACCCTGCTGTTTTCACACTTCTGAGGTGACTGACTTCTTTGAAATAGCTATCCAGCCAACTCAGTGAGAGATTCTGCTGTTCAGTTTAAAGTATTAAACACAAGAAAAATAATTTGGATTCAAAGTTCAGCTTTGGCTTAGGTGTTTCAGAGGGTATCCTGCCTTGCTTCCCTGCAGTTCTACAGATTATAAACTCAAGTTATGTGAACATGCTTCTTTTGTACAGCTTTTTAAAGCATGCAAAAACATCGGTAGAAACCAGCTGATCTCATCACCTTGAGCCAATCTAAGCTTTTAAAGATGTTGGTTTGCTTGGCTTCTTTCTGGGGTTGTTGTACTGTAGGATGTTGGAGGTGCCAGAGGATAGTAGCTTGATATCCATCATGTTCCTGTCACAATGCCTAAGGGATTCCAGAATAGAAATAAATGCAAGTTAACTGTTAATGTACAAAATGAGCTGTGCTCAGTCATAGTGGGTGGAGAGAGCAGAGAAAAATAAAATAGAGAAAAATATTCAGACTCCTGTCTGAATTTGTACAGTGACTTTACAAATAGGGATTGTACCAAGTATAAAAAATAATAAACTGGCTCTTGTGAGAGGTCAGATATACAAATATTTGTGGATTACTCAAAAGGGAAAAATAGAATGCTTAATTTGAATTGTTCATGAATTATCTGTTTCAGCTGGAAAGCTACTCATCACACCCCTAATACTGATTCTGGGACTGGCACTGGGAGCCGTAGCTGTTGTAGTAGGTAAGAATAATATAAATGATTGGGTCTGATTTTGCAGTGACTTTCCGTATGACTTTAGCATCTCGGTAGGCTTATTTCTAAGAGACAGTCTCAGATCAGACAGACATTTCTTAGATACGTTTCTATTATGAAGCACATGCAATTTTTTAAATGGCTTGTCTTTAGAATCTTTTTCTTCCTTGCATTTCATGCCTATTGGCTTTATTTCATATTTTGCAATTATTTGGTTAAGGCTTTTTTGAAACTAAGTCTTTAATATAGTTAAAATACCGAAAGGGCTTGAGCAGTCTAACTTGTGCCCTCCCTTTCGCCACCTCAGTGGATCACAGTTCTAATATCTTGGCCACATGCGTGGCAAAATTTTGGAGGCGCCAGCTATTGTCCCAGTATCCCTCCATCTTGATGATGAAACAACAATAAGAAGAAAAAAAAAAAAAGCAGTGAATTAGGCTGAGTCAATCTCAGTCTGATTTAATGCATAGAGTGCCAAACTGAATTCCATCACAAAAAGATGAACCATAAACTAATATGATATAGTTTCATAGCTCTGTTAATGTGGTTGTATTTATTGCGAGTACAGTTACTCTAGCAACTGTACTCTTTGCCCTGTTTTAGTAATTTCTGCTTTAGAAATAAGCCATAAAAATAAAAATATTATTTTGCCAATACTTCTAAAGCCAGCAAAGTGTGCTTTGCTCTAGTGATCTGAGATAATAAATGCTGGGGAGAAAAATAAAAATGCCTTAAAAATTATATTACTGCAAAACTGTTCTAATGCGGTAGCAGTAATACCCCGTCTGCTGTTAAAGTCCCATCCTGGGCATAGCCAGATAAGAGACAATCATGAAAAGCAGCTTGAGTAGTCCAAAAATATTATTTATAAGAAAGTTTTGGTTTTGAGGTGATTGCAACAATATTTACAGCCAACACAACTGTTAAAGTAATCTCAATATCGTACTTAACCATTTTACACCAGTTACAAGGTGGTTCAGCAAAACAAGGACATTGCAAAAGTAGCCTTTTGCAATTTGTTATTACTGTAGTGGTGTTTGGGAAGTAAATCTGCACATTTTCAGTCTGCTGGTGGTAAGAGAAAGGAGGAGGTACTTTTTTTGAGAGAGAGAGAGAGAGAGAGAGAGAGAGAGTACATCTAACAGACAATTTTCTTACATGAATAAATCTGCGTTTTGGGTTTTTTCTAAATTTGTTCAATCATTTACAGCTTCTTTTTCTCAAAAGACTTCTTAAAAAAAAATAGATCATTGTCTGGGCAAGGATAAACATTTGGTGTTACTTCTCAATAGATAAGGACATTTGAAAAACAAAAATTATATATTATAGATGTTTTTATTTTTGTATGTAATATATGTAAATATATAAAAATGTAAAGCTTTTGTTGCATGTTATAATGGCTCAATTAAAGATTAAGAGAATTTTTAGAATTGGTAGTCTGCTGAAGAAGATATGAACCCTGAATTAAGTATGTTAAGTAGATTTTTCTTAGCTTTTAGATTTGCATGTTACATGTTTATGGAAGCAAGATTGTATTTAGGTCTGAGAATTTCCGAAGTACTGTTAAAAGTTTTTTGTTTGTATCTTATACAAAATAAAGCTTGGCTCAGGAATTAATTTGTCAGAGATGGGAGAGGGGTTAGCAGGAATTTTGTTGTAATCTAAGCAAGAGAAAGTGTAACTTAACTGATTGCCAAAGAGACTGTTGCAGGCTAGTTTTTATCTGCTTGTCCAAATTCCTGCTCTAAACTTTCTTGAGATATACAGAGCTGTGTCTTAATACTCTCCACGTATAAAGAAAGAACACGTTGCATTTTTTTTTTTATGCCTTTTTTCTTATTTTCTTATTTTGACAGGTTTATTTGTGTTTCCTATCTATTGCCTTTGTAAAAAGCAGAGGAAGAGGTCACGGACAGGTATGCCCTGGTAAGGATGGGCCATACTCACTGAACTGAGCTGGTCCTGCAAAGGACTGTACACGGTTTGTGCAACAGAGCAATACAGTGCTGGTAACGGCATCACAGCCATCGCCCTGGAAGAAGAGTGGGGGATCTCCTGCATCTTCTCTCAGCTGAAACACTACTGCAGACCAGAAAGCCTCTTTGCTCTGGTGCACTCTGAACAGGATGGGTCCCCTGACTGCTGCTTTTAAAATATTTTTTTCTATTATTATTATTACTTTGAAGGGGTTTTTTTGAAAGATTTAAGTCTAAGTTCCTGAACTAGACAATCAAAGTCTGTATTTTAGCCACAACTCTACTACCGATTTGGCCTGTGAAGAAATCATGTAACTGCTAACATGTTCCATTTGACTTCAGTGTTCGCCTTTAAGGGGGAAATGCTTAGAAGTGTTTGGACTCTTACTGTATACTGAGCATACTACTTTTGGTATTAAATACTACTTCTGTAAATAACTTCCATCACACAGCATTCTGTTCAGCATACCAAAACCCCATCACATGCCAGAATATGACAGCTGGTTATCTTCTGAGTTGTCCTACTAGAGAGCAAGAGTTCAGATTGCGTTTGTGCAGCATGGATTGCCACAGCCAAATAACAGTGCCTCAGAAATATTCTTACTATTATTGAAACTTCATGATACTTACAAATATGCTGGTTGGTTTTCCTTTTGTATTTAATTTTTGGAAGTCCATTAATATTGATGAGAAATTGGCGTTTGCCAGATGAGTAGAGCATTTTGAACCTTTCTCAGCACAAGAAAAGATTTCAAGGGTTTAGATAACAAGAAGTAACTTGAGACAAAACAGGCCATTGATATCCACTGAAATGTGACACAGAACATAGAAGGAAATGAATTTGAAGAGAAGCTGGAGACCTGTTCTTCTGTTCTGAACTAGCATATAGTACATAGTCTACACACTAGGGTGTGTGCAAGATCGACTTAATGAAATCCTATAACCTAAATAGCATGTACATTTGCTTTGTAAGTAGCCTACGTAAGTCTTAGAGCATCCACTGGCGTTTCATGAAGAAGATGTATGAATTCTGGTTAAAGGAAGTGATTGTTAATTATTAGGAGACCATTTCATTCTTATTCTCTACTTCCAGTGTCACTGTTCCTGGTGTGTAACAGATCTGAAGAGAATAACAATCCATGGCCTTTATTCCTGAGCTTCAGAGTACCTCTGTTCGTCACTGGACTTCTTTCTCATCACATCACTACAAGGGCAATGTAATTTGGAGTTGAGACTCAGTTTTTCATTTCTAGTTATAATCCAAATGTATCGTACAAATACAACTTAAAAGAAAATAATGAAGTTGTGTTAACAGTGATACACCAAAGTGAGAAAATTAGAAAAATACCTACTTATATTGAAAAGAGCTGTGATCTTGAAGATTAGTTTTGTAGTGTGAAGGTACTTTCTGAATGTTTGAAGACACGTATATGTGTATATATAGATGCATATTTATGTGGGAGAGGGGAAAGGGAGATAATCAGTGCCCTAAGTCTACAGACTTCAAAATTAACACTCAGAAATAGTGTATCTTTTGAGAGGGTTTACTTTGTACCTCCTTCTCCGAAAGTTATTACACCTGAATCTAGTTGTAACTTTTAAGTAAACAGTCCACTTCCCTGCCAACATAATACTCCGTTATCATAAGATACTCACTCTGACTTCAAAGCCTCAGTGGAAGAACTGATGAATTCTGTTTACTTGGAAACACAAATATCAGCTGACCATAGTTGGCTAGTATGTGTCTTTTCAGACAGCTTCTGGTTTTGTTTCCTTGTTATTTTTTTTCCTCTTGTTGAAACCGTGAACACAAGCATACTGTAACAGTCAGCAGTACTTTACTTAATTTTTTGTTTGAATTTAAGGGCATGTTAACCCTGTTGTCCTGTCAGTTGAAATAGTACCTTTGTAAGATGTGTTAATTAAGCTGGGAAGCAATGACATTTAGAAGTAAAGTTCAAATACTATTCTCAATGCAAATGCACCTGCTAATTAGATTTCTTCTTCTGTAACACATCACTTTTCTAGTTCTGTTTTATCTGCAGGTTGGAAGCTGCCTTAAAATCAAGTCTTGGTTTTGAGTGTTTTCTGAGGCCATACATATCAGTTGTCTTTCGCTTACTCAGGGATTCTTATTCCTTTGTTTAAATGTCAAATAATGAAAATATTTTTGTATTATTTAGAAAATTTCAGACCTCAGAGAGTGAGAGATGCATTTATATATATAAATAGATTTCATTTTGCAATACAGTCTGTAATACTATGTCAAACTATTCCACTTGAGAATGTTTTAGTACTTGAGATTATCTGTAACTACACAGTGTGTTAATTTCCTTTCTTCTCCTGTTTCCTTATAAACTATGTGAGATACTCTTGCAGTTGTCTTAGCTGTATTTTCTCTTCTGTTCACTATTTTCAGTTTCTGAGTTCAGTAAGATCTGAAATTAAAATGCTACAAAAATGAGCATAAAGGGAAGAAATAGATCTGCATTTATTTTACTTTCAAGAAGAATGTTATGAGTGGAGGGAAAAGCATACATCTCAACTCCTATATTATAATTTCATTCAGACCACTTGGATTTTATCAGAACAGATTAAATGAAAGTGGTTCTTCATTTTTTTTTTACATGCAGCAAAACTAGGCATATTTGACCATTTTAAGATGAGAGAGTCCAATCTCCATTTCTCTGTAGAGAAAAAGGTAGGAATGACAATATTTGCTTTTCTCTGTAGATAAGGAAAAAAAAATGCAGGAGCCAGGCAGAGTAAGAATACTGAAGTCTTTGTATCCATATAAAAATGTGGCCATTTGAATAATATGTAACAAACAATTTTTCATTAACATTATATAGTACAGTCAGTTGAAATGTAAAATCTAACCCAGTAACTTCATCCATTGAAATGTAAATTTTACACAACTATTCTCATTATAGGAAATGTTACATTACATCAAAGTCATGTCATTTATTTTACAGTCATTAATTTTTTTATGGAAATTGGGTGAACTGTGTAAGAAATGTAAAAGATGTTCTTCTTTCAGGACCCAATGATATTTTGGCTTTTTTAACTGTGCTCTTAAGCCTGAAACCATCAGACTCTTCTATTACATCTTCATTAGCAGGAAATATTATCAGGCAGTCTGATTAACCTGCTAAGGTGGATGTTGCTATATGCCGAGTATCCACATTGCATTCACCATATTCAGGATTATTTATTCTTCTAAGAATTGCTTGCTCATCAGTATCTGTATTCAGATTAAGTGCTTAAATCTGTTCTAAATGAGCTGAATTTCTAAGCTGTCTGGAAATCTTTATGTTAATGTACTGAGGCTCTTTTGCACTTGACCAGAGCTGTGTGCCCTGCAGAGGCTCCAGGCTGAGCAGAGCTTTGCTGGCTTCTGCTTGGGCAGGCCTCTGGGTTGTGCCAGTTGCAAGAGACTGCTTGCAATTCAGGCTGAAGCTGCTTTTTCACTTTGACCTGTCATCTCTCCCTGAATTTTAATAACCTGGATGGAGGTGCACAGCTTCAGCAGTGCTGGCCTTTGCTGCAGCGTGGGGCCTTTGTGGACTTCTTTGCTATCTTTTTAGGACCTGTCAGTAATTATACCCACTACAACTAAAATGTCTGTCTTGATCTTGGTCTTCAGATGAGACTGAAGTAACAAGAGTTGTTCTAGTATTGTGTCACTCTACACTTTCATGTATTTCATGTCTTCAAGTTAGCTCCTGTTTCCAGATCAGGTATTTTCAGGTTAGTATGGCATAGTTTGAGCTGCTAGAACCCTTCACAGTTTCCAGTTATGCCTTCAAACTGACCACTCCAGGTATGTGCTCTATATGCTGAGTAAGTCTGTATAGCCAAATAAATGCTTTTTTTTTTTTGTGCAGATCTATTGAGTTCTGCTTTTGGTTTTTCATTCTCTTTTTTTTTTTTTTTTTTTTTTTTTTCCTTCCTCCTTTTGCTCCATGCTGCTTTTCTGCTTTTGAGATTTTATTAACTGGGTCAAGTTTCAGGGCTCTTAACCATGTCTGTGGCAAGGTCTTTTTTTTGCCTGCTGTGGACTTTGTGAGTGTAGTTGTGTATTGAAAGAGCTCACTCAGGATACGTAACTGGAAAATAATTGTATGGTTGTTTTTTGTAAATATATTTGACATTGAGAGTAGGAAACTGGGTTGGATAGAAGTGAGTGTCAGAAGTGCAGTTTGGAGTAGCCCCATGCTCTGAAAGACCCATCAATTTTAGTTCTGCACAAAAAAAAAAAAAAAAAAAAAAATTGTTTTCAATTCTTACCACCTTCATAAGCAGTCTACTCGTAATCTTTCAGATGTCATTAAAGTACAGTGCACTTTGATCTTTTGTCTTTGGGGCAGTGCAAATGTATATGAAAGGGAGGGTTTGTTTTTTTTTTTTTTTTTTTTGTTACTACTGCTTACTTCATAACTCTTCCTGGTATGATAACTTTTTTTATTATTTACATATATTTATTGGTTTTGACCAATGTAAAGTTGAACTTATTAAAAATATTAATTAGCCTGTGTGACATTCAGTGGTATGTAGAAAGAATAATTCTGTGAGAGATTACAAATTCTCCAGTGATAGAATGGTTTCTCTTGCCTCTTAGATCTGAGAAACCATTTCATGATCAGTAGCCAAACAATTTGCCATGCAGACAATGAGTTTGTTTGTTTTTTTTTTGTTTTTTTTTTTTTTTTAAATTAGTTGTGGTAGTTTTGTTCCTGAGCAGACATTGCATCAGTCATAATTCTTGGTATGATAATTACGGTATAGTGCCAAGTTGTACAGGAGAACTATGGATTACTGTTATTTTCTAATCTATATTCACCTCTGTTTGTTTTGCTAGTGAAAAGAATTATACAGAAGGAAACTAGAGAGAGAATCTCTTTGTATCTTCTAATTTTGTAGCGGGTCTGCTCCTGAAATCAGCCTTAGCCCTTTTAAATCAGGGAATTTATACGCATTTTATGCCAGCACAGTATTGGGCCAAAATTCTTTGGTATTCCAAAATACTAAGAAGTATGTTAACAGCCATAATTGACAACCATTATGCAGCTACTTGAAAATTTGATTTATTTCTGAAATGCAAAAGGAATCATAAAGGAAGATTGTCCAAATAGCATTCTTACTAAAGCAAGTAGTCAGGGGAATGAATGTAAGTTTTTAATACAAGAGGGATCTTAATGATTTGACTTACCAGTAACATTAAAAACAACGTCCACAGAAAGTGTTGAATAACCTATTTTAAAATTCTAACAAATGTGAGCATGGTATAGAAATTGGAGTTATAGCTGTTTAATGTTTTTCAGGCTTAATGCACAAACTTAAGAAGGCACATGTATTTAAAAAGTAACACTGCTGGTATATTTGCTAGCTTTTTGTATTACTACTGCATGAAAGAAACAACTGAGCCTTGATTCAGCTGCAAAACTAGCAGTGTGGTCTCTGCTGAAGCTGGCACATTGCTACAGTTACTTGTGTTTTATTTTTAATTAACAAAGCAAGCTACCAAATGTGGATTGTTTCAGTTACTTGAGAGTGTAACTTCCTTGCTGTTTCTTCCGTACTCTGTGCCTATGGGTTCAGGATCTGTACTTGTTCTCCAGTAAGGAATGGAGTGCTTATTCCTTTAGTGCAACTAATTACTGATGCTCTTAGCCTGATGTTGAAATGACATAGAGAAATGAATGAAACCAGTGCATATGCATATCTGTGTGGAAGAAGTTGTCTTTGGAGCTTAGTTGATTCATCAAAACATGAAAAGTAGATCTGAACTGTGTTGTATGGATTGAAGTCTAGAGAGGAGAAAGCTATGTAAAAAATGTTTGGTTTTAGTATAAAATGGATTTTGCACATACTTGCTTGAACTTGTTGCATGCTTGCCCCATTCAGTGTTTTATCTTGCTGAAAACTTGACAAACTTAAAACAGTATTGTTGCAATTTTATTCTTCTGTTACTGAACATGATATTACTAATGCAGTGCCACGTTTACCTCATTTTTAGAATGAAAATCTACTCACAGAATCCAAACAAGCTTTTCATGTATTTTAAATCTGTTTTGTAAAAACACTGATGCAGTCAAGAAATATTTTTCTTTCATGTCTTAAGACGAGGTATTAGGAAACATGTCTTCAACATGAGGGTGGTCAAACCCTGGAACAGGCTTCTTTGAGAGGTGGCTGATGATCTATGCCTGTTCAAGGGATTTGCACAATGCTCTCCACAACATGATGTATGTTTTGATTAGCTCTGAAGCAATCAGGAATTGGGATTCTGAAGGTTCCTTCCAACTGAACTTTTCTATTCTTATGCAAGTTGTGGATAAGGAAATCAGTTTTTACTCATGTACTAACTTTTGCATAAAAATGCAATATAAAGAGTTCTTTGGTATCAATTTACATTATGCTGTTTCATGTCCTGAAATTACAAGAACAGGTGTAGATTTTTCCATATCACTGTTTACCAATCTCATAATAAAATGTTTACCATATTTCCATTAATTATACACTTGATTTCTAACTCCTTTTCCTTTCAGATTTTATAATCTGAAACTGATTTCTGGAAATAGTTGAAGACAAAATTGCATCTTAGGAAATGATCCCATTAGATTTTGCTGAGCTATATTGAGAAAAGATTGTTGTATTTATTCAAATGCAAACTCCCAAAGTCTCTTCTTCATGACTTTTAATTTTGCATTTTTTTTCCAATTGGGAAGCATTTTGTTACAGAACTAACCATCTGAGTCTAAATAACTCTTTAGGATATATGTTGAAAATTATTTAAGTTGAAAATTATCTTGCCTGTGGTTTAGATGAGAATTAGTGGTAGTTGCTGAGAAAATATCTTCTGTGCTTCTGAGAAGGCTGTCAAAGCTGAGCTTCATCTTAGTTTTTCAATGAGTTGATGAGAAGTTTTCTCCTTTTCCCATTTCTTTCTCTATTTTAGTGTCAAGAATTCCCCTTAAGTTTAATGTGAGTAATGGGATGCAAGGTTAGAAAAGTGGCAAGTCATCCTTTTTAGTTTAGCTGTTTCTGGCACATGAAGAATGCTAGACAAAATTCAGTTTCATTAATAAAGAAGCCTCTAATTCCACTTTTGAGCTGCATAAAGTCTATGTGCATTAGCGGTTCGAACTTTCTGCATGACTAAGAGTAAGCCTATAAAAGCTGGAGGCAGGCAATATCACTTGAATTCCGGTATTGTGTGTTTTATATAATGAGAAATTTTAAATGTGTAAGTG